TGTGTGTGTGTGTGTGTGTGTGTGTGGAAAGGATCGAGAGCTTGCAGCAGTGGAGAGGCGATGCGAGTTGCTGTTCTGTGGGTGCAACGGGAAAGTGATTGGCGCTTGGATATCGAAAACAAAGGCGATCAAGGCTAGGCAGATTTTGTGATGGTGAGAGATCCAGATCCGTGAGTGTGGCTGGTGACGGCGGAGGTGACGGCGGAGGTGACGGCGGTGAGGGACGAAAAGGAGGGTGGCGCACGCGAAGACGCTGGACGGCGAAAGGCAGGGGAGCTGTGATATCAGGCGGCAGCGGGTGAAAGTTGTGGCAGATGCAAAGTGTAGCGACGAGATGAGGGATCGCGGTGACTACTATGGGCTCCTCATTTTTTGGCGTTGCGAGATGGATGCGCCCGGCGAGCAGGCGAGCAGGCGGGCAGGCGAGCAGTCAAGCGAGTTGACCTCGGTGCACCGAGCGAGAGAGTCTCTGTGTGCTGCGCCTGCACGGTGCTGTTGGCGTGCGTCTATATGCTGCATGTCGGCAGGTGCTGCATGTTGGATTGATTTTCTTTCTTGGTTCTGGAATGGGGGCGCGGTGCGCTGCGATGCGCTGGGATGACGAAGGCCAAAGCAGGCATGCCAGTACAGAAAAAATATTAGAATCAATTCACAGTAGCTTAGCGCTGCTGCCGGACGCCAATCGCACAACCACTCAGCTGCAGACTCACTTGGTGCAGCGATCTGGAAATCCGCTATCTTTTTTGGCTCGCTCGTACATTTATTGTTCGGATTTCACTGTTCAGGCACACTGTGGCTGGGCCTGGTTGAGCGAGCAAGCGAGCGAGTGCCGCTTCGCAACTGCCGCTTCGCAACTGCCGCCTGGCTCGAGGTCTGCACGTTGCTGCACGGCGTGACGGACGAGTGCCGATCCCGTTCATGCATGCTGCGCTTCCAGTCGCTACCAGGCCAAACGGACGTCGCCGTGCATTCCCGTCCGCAAGACTTTGGGGGCGCATCCCACCCGCCATATCGCACGTCCGGCGGGTCGTTTCTGAGGTTCAAATGAAATCACCACCACCGCCGATTAAGAGCGAGGGCGACCTTCGCATCGTGCTCAAGATGCCCTCCTCGTTTTTCCCGAGACAGAACTGCGGTCCCCATTTTCGGGTGTGTTCCAGATGGGCTGCGGTGAGTCGGTAAGTTAGTTAACTTGGCTCTGAAATGCATTGTCGATCGGCAACATCCTCTAGCTACTCTGCCGCCTCCATCCATCCGACCTCGTCTAAGTCATTGCTGAGTTGCCCGGTCTAGCTCGGGCTCTGGCTCTAAGCTTCGTCAGCACGTTGGCGGCAGCATGTTGCAGAATTTAGATCCATCCGCCCTGCCGAGCTGTAGGACACTCCTCAAATATCCCTTTCTCCCTCTCGCTCCAACGACGTCTCTGCCATCGCGCCAACTTCGGCGAGATTGGCAATCGAGATCGTCCTTCGCTCGCACTCTGACTTGGCCCGATCCGATCCCTCCCTTTCCCCCGCAAGCGTCTCTCTTGCTCTGCTTATAGGTTGGTGGGCTTTGTATCTGGCGTTGCTGGCGTTGGATTGAGTCTTTCGAGGGTTCGCTTGCTTTGCAGTCCAGCTCGTTGCGCTCTGTGCAGTCAACGCGCTTCTGTGTGGTCCAAGACACGGCTGACACGCCCGGGCTGAGCAAGGAAGAGGCATTACGACGGAGAAAGCCGTCATACATTGCCGCCACGTGAGCGCGCTCCGCAACTCCACATGAGAGAGGTCGGTGAAAATAGATGTTGACACTCGTCTCGCCACGGCCGCTTGTGTCATCCAGGTGTCCACTTGGCACCGAGGAAAGGCAGAGCGGCGGATCCTCTGGCGCATCGGCATCCGGCGTCGCTGCCAGACCCAGGGTGCCGGAAGCGAGACAACACCGTCGTCCGTCCATGTTCTCACACCCCCGGCTAGTGTGGCGTACGACTGGTGGATGTACGACCGGCTCTCGATCGTGGTTGCCACTCGATGCAGCCTCGCCCGCCTTTCCTCCACAAGTCTGCTGCATGTGCATGCATAATCGAGCTGTCCATCTTGCATTGGACCCCTCTCTCTGCCATCGACCACCACCATCTCTGTCTCCATCGCTTGAGGACTGATCGCTCTCGTCGTCTTTACACCAATTCACCTGATTGATTATCCCCCACTTGTGGCTTAGTCGACATGCCTTCTTCCAAGGGAAAGCCCACCGATCCCAAGAAGCGCGAGGAGGCGCGCAAAGGTATGCTTTGACCCCCCCTTACCCCATGTTGGCACGGTCGCATCCCAGACACTAATTCGACCTCTACTGATGCTTGACTGACCTCAGAGGTGCTCAACATGGAAAAGGGCGGAGGCAAAGGCAATTGGTCTGCATACAAGGTAAGTCTTGCCCAAACCGTGTCCTTCTCACAACAGCAACCTTCTGACTCGGACAAATTTCCCGTGGCATAGGCAGCAGAGATGGCCAAGAAATACGAAGCCAAGGGTGGCGGATACGAGGACACGGGTGACAACGCCAACGAGGCCAAGACCGGCGCTCCCAAGCCCAAGAAGGAGGCCGTCGAGAAAGGCGAGCGCAAGGACCCCTCCGCGCCCGTCGGCACTCCCAAGACCAAGAAGGCCAGCACCGACAACAAGGACGACTCGAAGACTTCCGGTGCCAAGAGAAAGGCCGACGAGGACAAGCCCAAAGAGGCCGCCCAGCCAAAGAAGAAGACCTCAAAGACCCAGGCCAAGCCCCCGGCAAAGGGAACCAGGACACAACCAAAGCGAGGCGCCAAGAAGGAGTAGACTCATACCCCAATCGCTCCCACACTCCCCCTTGCCCGTCCACGGAATCCGCGTTTGCCTGTAGTCTTTGCCTGTACTTACCGATCTGTCCAAGAGCAATACCAATACCAGTTCCGTAAGCGCACGATTGAAGGGGTATAGATTTCACATGCGATCGCCAGGCGAGCATGGACGGAAACAGGTGACAAAAAGAAAGAATATGCCCAAGTGAAATGCTGCGGGATCGCGTGACGGATCAGCTTGCGTCGGACCTCGCGATGCTTTTCGCGATCTTCTCGAGGTAGTAGAGATGCGGACGCGGCCGGTCAATCTCATCCAAGGTCATGGCGCGGTCCGAGGTGTGCGAACGCGTGCGCATGCGAGAGCGATACGGCGCGCTGGGCGTCAACCACCCGCCCACCTCGAGCGCGTGTCGCTTGTCGGCCTCCACGCACGCATCCCAGATGTCGCGCTCGATGCCCACGCTCGCCGCGAATGCACCGCGCGACAGCGCCCTGCGGATCGCCTGGTCGTGCTTGCGGTTGAGGCTGCGTTCGTACGCTTCGTCGTCCGATGCAGTCGCTGCTGGCTCCCTTGCACTCAGACGCGTCCAAGGGTTCGAAGACTGGCTGAAAGCTTCGATCGACCGCGCCCTGCGAGCCCGTAGTGTGTTGTCTCCCTCCGCATCCACACCCAGGCCCGCCGCGTCGTGGGACGCATCGCCTTCGTCCAGCGCCTCGTCGAATTGAGCAAAGACGTCATCCTCCTCGTTGCCCGACTTGTGCACCCACCGCATCTGTACGGGATCGAACAGCATGTCGCCTACTACACGCGCGCCCGAGGCGATCGAGTTCATCAGCGTGCTGCTCTCGGGCGAGATGGGCGACGTGTAGCCCGCAGCGTGCGTGAGCCGCGAGCTGGTGGAGCTGCCTGTGATCTGCGAGATGAGCGCAGGCCGAGTGCTGCTTTGGATGACCTGGTCAAAGTCCCGCAGCACCGCTTCGTTGCCCTCCCACCGCAGCGCCTGCGCGTTCCAACGCATGCCTTTGACAGTCTTTTGCGTTGGTGAGCCACCCACACCGAGCGAGCGGATCAAGCCTGGCTTGCTTTTGGGATGGCGTCTGCCGCCGCGCTTGGACTTGCCGCCGCGCTGAGACTGCGATGCGCCTTGGTCCGTCTTGGTGGCGCCCCGACCCGCATTGGCCGGCGTAGAGGAGGGAGGCAGAGGGATGGGCTTGACGGAGGGACTGGTGGAAGTGGTGAGGTCGTCGATGCCGTCCAGCTCGGCGCCGCTTGCATAGGGCGCCGAACGCTTCAAAAGCCGAGCGGCGGGCTGGCTTTCGCCCGACAAGCCCTGGCGCTCCGCCCTGGTCTTGGATCTTGTGCTCACCGAGATGCGAGGCGGCGGATTGTGCGACGATCTTGTCGGAATGGAGACGGGAGTGCTGGGACGGGCTGGTGCCTTGGCGTCTCTGTGCAGTCTGGCGAGCTGGTCGGCTGCGGTTTCTGCTGCGCGTGCGCGCGATGCGGCGGTCGAGTCGGTGAGTCTGGAAGAGCCGTGGGACCGGATGCGAGACACGGACGACGAGGCGCTGGCACCGCTATTGTGTCGTTGGCGCACTGCGATGGTGTGTGCGCCCAGCTGTACCGCAGCAACGTTGACGCTGCTTGGTGCTGGCGGAGATGTTCTCATGGACGGGAGAGACCTCTTGCGCGTCAGCTGGGACCCGCGATTTTGCGAGCGGTTGGATGCGGACGGGCCAGGATTGGCGGAAGATGCAGACATGTGTGTCTGCAGATCGCTCGTGGATCGCTTGAAGCGCAGGGAGCGACGGGGACCACGCGGTTCCGTGCGGAAGCCCTTGGATTGCTGTGAGGCCGCTTCGCCTGAGGGCGCGCGGTTGTGCTGGTGTCGGTGCTGATGCGACGACGAGGCGTGCGAGTCGTGTTGGCGCTCATCATGACCGCCTGAGGTCACAGTTTGCGCGCTGAGCCTGGAGTTTGCGATCTGTGCATAGGAAGGATTTGGGCGGGTGTTGGAGAGGCCGCGCGACGTGATGCGACTGGGCGACAAGTCGACGTCGTCGGTGATGACGAGGCCTGCAGCGATGCCCGAATCCGAGTCTGTGACGTGGGCTGAAGTTTGGTATGGATCGGGGTGACGACCAGAGCGCTTGAGATCGAGCATGGCCTCGAGCTTTGCTTTGAGCAAGGGGGCTGGCTGCACAGCGGGATTGGGTTGAGGTTCAAAGATGCTGCCTTGGAGGTCGAGGCCGTCGAGAAGGTCTTCGTGTTCGTCATCTGCATCGCTCTCGCCCGATATGCTCTTGGAAGAGGTGGCGGGCTGGTGGGAGGTGGCAGAAGCGCCAAGCGCCGGCTCCTCGTCCCACAGATCTCGGCTGACGTGGCTGAGAGAGGTGTTGGAGCGGGCGCGGGAGAGGGAGGAGCAGAGGCTGAGATTGTCCATGTTGGGAGCAAGCTCAAAGTCGAGTTCGTCGATGGCATCGTCAGGCTCCGAAGAGTGGAAGCCAAGATCGGAGCGGGCGCGGTTCGAGCTGGAGCACGAGGTGGTGGTGGTGGTGGTGGTGTTGTTGCGTGTGCCGTGCTTGCTGTGCGGGCTGTCTGGATCGGTGAGGTCGGTGGAGAGGCCCATCATGCTGCGATAGCTGGTGCTGGCAGAGGTGCTGAGGCTGGCAGTGGAGCAGGTGTTGAGGTCGTCGTGGCTGTTGGCGAAGCGCATGATATCGAGCCGAGCTAGATCTGCATCGTGGTGCACAAGTTGATGTTGGTCGAGGGCATGCAGATCTGCGCTGGGCAAGGAGGAGGCGGAAGCCTTGCTGGCCTCGAGCATCTGCTTCAGCGCGGAACCAGCGATGTTGGACAGTTTGATAGTGTCCGTCTGCTCGTCCGATGCATCTTGATCTTCGTCGTGATCCCAATCGGAGAAGTCGTCGGCATGCGCGGCGGTGGGATTGTCATCGTGGTCGTCGTGCAGGGAGAGGTGCTCCGTACGCAGAGCGGTGTGATCCAGATCGAAATCGCCCTCGGACCAGTCTTCGACCAGCGAAGACGACATGTTTGCCCAAGTTGTTGGCAGGCGTGTGCGGAAGACGAGTAGAGCAGTGCCAGGTCGAGTCGATACGAGAAGGAGGAGACTGTGTTCAGTCTCACCAGCCCATGGTTGCGGAAGTGCGTTGGTGGTGGGTGGGCGATGGTGCTGATGGTGACGTTGGTGGATGGCCCAGGGGGCAGGCGGGATGACAGCGGAAGAAGGTCGACGACGAACAAAAGGAGGCTCAAAGTCTGGCGGCGGGGGTGTTGCTCTCGACACCTCCCCACCGCCTTTTGCAACGCCCACCGCACGCAGCCCAATGTGCTTTTGGATGCGAGACGTGTGGGACCGCGTTGAAGGCGCTTAGCTGCCGCTCTGCCTCGGCAGGCTCTGGCATCAGCCAGAAATGCACCCTGACGCGCGTGCTCTGCCTCTTTTTCCGACCCTGTTGCGTGTTGGTTGCGGCCCTCTTTTCGGCAAGGCGGCGGCGCGTCGAGGTGTGCATTTCGAGCTGCCGAACCCTTCTTGAAAGGCCCCGAGCGAAAGCACACTCAACCCCGTGCGTTCGGAAGTTGCGACCCACTCCAAGCCTTCTTGGCGCACCCGCCAGCCGTGGGAAGATTGCACTCCGCCCACCTTGTGGCTGCTTCTGCTCGGCTTGGAGATTTGTCGGCTCGATCCCGCCATCTTCGCTTCTTGCTTCTCTGCTGTGATCACATCCCCCACCAAGATGGCTTCCAACGGCGCTGCCATCGGAACGAGCCGACCGCCGCTCCAGTCCAAGTTCAGCGAATCCTACACGGCTCTGCTCCAGGGCAGACAGCCGTGGGCCTTGGACGATGCCTCGGTCGATGACCATAACTCCTCCTCTTCATCCTTCCAGTCGCGCCCGGCGGTGGCGCGCTCCAAGTCGGCGGGCAAATCCAACTCGGGGCCTCGCTCGCGCTACTTTGCCGACCTGCTCTGCCTGCCCGTCGAGACGCGCTTGGTCGCCGATCTGCTCGCTGCCATCCCGCCGGAAAAGCTCCTCGACGACAGCCCGCACAGCCAAGGCGCCCGCATCGCCGACAACGTCGGCGCCCTCTGGAGGGAGGCCATCCGCGTATGGCGTGAGAGCGACGAGGATGAGGTGCGCAGGAGGAACGCCGTCGACACGCTTGTCGCCCTCTCCTACCCCATCCTCACCAAGCGCTTCTCCAACTACTCGTTCGATCTCATCACCATCTTCGCAGGTGGCATGGACGAGGCCGACGACGTCTTCACCCTGCTCGTAGACTCCATCCACGACACCCTTCGCGGCGGCGATCTGGCGCGTGTCCGCATCCCTTCCTCCGTCCGTGACGACACCGACGACGCGGACGCTCATGCTGCTGAAGCAAGGGCCTGGATCGACGCAGAGGTGCAGCATCGCGCCCTCCAGCTCGGCCTCCTCTGGCTCTCGTGCGTCGCTCAAACCTCCCTCGCCGCCTACTTTCTCCGCCGCGACCTCTTTGTCACCGCTTCCGCCTTCGCCTCCTCCCCCGGCGGCGCTCGCTACGCTTACGAAGGCGCCGTCTTCCTTGGCCTCTTGGCCACCATCGGTCAAGGCTCAGCAGGAGGCATCTCGCTCAATGTCAGCACCTCCAATCCGTACGCTCGACGCTTCCGCGATTGGGTCGACGAACAATGCATGGCCAAGATCCTCGTCGCAGCCGCGTCCGCCATGGACCGCGACGTGCAGTCATATCGACAAGTCGTCGACGATTCGCCTCCCTCGTTGGCAGGCAGCATCGCTGGACTCGCCACCATGCGCTGGGTCTCGGGATTCTCCGAACTCCTCGGCCCTGCCGCTCCACCACTCGCCTCCGATCCCAAACGAAAAGCAGCATCAGCAGCCTCGGCAGTCGGCGCGGACTTCTCTCATCTACCTTCGCCCACCTGCGTCATCCTCCTGCCCCTCTTTCTGCTGTCCAGATCAAATCAGGCGTTCACCTCGCTCATTCTAGACACAGCAGATCAAGACGAGAGCAACGGCGACACACGCGCAAGAGCCAGTGACGATTCATTTTGCCATTTGGCCTCGCTTGCCTCCTACCTCGCCACGCACGCCTCGGTCTCGGCGCGGTCCGCCTCGTACGCCCGCATCAGCTTGCTCTGCCTCCTCGTCTTCCTCTACGATCCGCGCGGGAGCCGCAACATGCTCGTCGACTCGCAACACGCCGCTCGCACGCTCGAGCGCATCCGCCTCTGCCGCCAGCGCGAACCGGCACTGGCGTTGCCAAGGACGAAACGCACCCGCCTCATCACCGCCGTGCTTGACGTGGCCACCTGCTCGCTTCGCTACAACCTCAGCAAGCGCATCGACACGGCCTCTTACCTCATCAGCCTCAGACTCGTTCAGCGCGCCGTCGTGCTGTGTTCCGACGAGCGCGTGCAGCTCGAGTACGACTGGCACGATTGCTGGAGTGCCACGCTCGCCCTCGCCTCCTTCCTCGCCGCTCGCTACACCGAGCTTCGCTCGAGCCGCGACCTGCCCGAGCTCATCAGGGCGCTCATCGCCACGCTAAATTCGATCCTGCTGCGTTCCGACCATTTCCTGCCGTCGACGAACGAGATCAACCACTTTGTCTACGAGCTCGTCCGGTGCTCTCAGACGCTGCGCAAGACCGTCATGCTTCTCGACCCGTCGTCGTCGAGAGATGCCGCAGGCACGCCAGGTCGAGATGCGGATCGACAGGCGGCGGTGGGACCCACGCCGCCCAAGCTGTATGCCCAAGTGCCCGGGTGGAAGAACATCGAGCGCGTCATCCAGGCGGTCGAGGCGAGCATTGCAGACTGGGTCGAGCAGAAACCGCGAAGTCGGCGAAACCAGACACCGGACATCAACACCATCACCAAACTCATCGCCGCCATCGACCGCGAACAGCTGCTGGCCGGTGCCACCGAGGACGGCTATGCGTCGGCCTCGGGGCCCTTGGAAGGCGCCAACAAGGCAGCCGCACAGGCCGCCATGCATCACGAACTCGAGTGGCTCGACCGCATCCAGGAACAGTGCCTGCCCGAGTTCGTCCGCCATGCTTGCGCCGACGTTCTGCGCATCCTGCCCGTCTACTGACCAACGCCCGCATGGCAGCGTTCAGCATCAATGCCAATCCTTGGCCTCCCTCTAAACGTGTGACAGATCTGCATGCAGCTGAGAAAAGGTGGGAAGTGCCATTCAACACCCACCTGGGCGGGGACATCTACTGGAACTTCTGAATGACGACCGCATTCAGCAGACCTGCAGTCTCGAGTGTCTGCGACTCGTCCGTCAGCGTTTTGGGCGGGAACGAAGAGCTGAGCACGTAGTTGCGCGTCGACATGCCCGGGTTCGCTCTGCACAACGTTCGCCAGGAAAGTAAAATACTATCGGTCAGTCAAACTCCGCTCTTGCGAACGAGTCAAGGCGAGGGGGGAAACTTACGCATTGATGTAGCCTCGAACGTCGGCGACGGTGTGGTGGGTGTTGAAGCGCGCCGTCATCCTCTGTCCGTCACCCAGACGGATCTGCAGCTGCGTCGTCGGCTTGTCCGCGTCCACCTTGAAGTCGCCAGCGCCTGCCGAGGACGATGTCGACGAAGACGCGGCGGGCTGCGTTCGCGACTGGCTCGCGCCGAACGACGCCGGAGCGGGCGACCCAAGCCGGTTGCCCGAGCCCGCGAAAGGCTTCATGGGTGGCGGCTTGTACTTTTCATCCGTGCGTCGCTGCACGTGCACGTTGACCCGCTGACCGAAGCGAACGTTGAGCAGACTCAGCGGCGCATGGCCTGCATTGATCGCGGCCAGCGTCTCTGCATGCGCAGGATCGTCGTACCGCATCAGCTCGCCATCCTCGATCGAGAAGCCGTCTTCCCAGAACGTCAGGTGGCGGATCACCACTTCACCCTCGTCCTCGTCGTTGTCTTGCGCCTGGTTCGAGAGACCACCGGGCATCGAAGGAGTGGCTGACGACGACGATCCGGCGGCCTCGCCCGAGTCGTTGATGGTTCTGCCGCGTCCGGCGAAGGCGAGCGAGCTGGAAGCAGCGGATTGGCCAGAGCTTCCAGCGGCGAGCTCGTCGGGGTTGCGTCTGGACTCCTCTGCCGCACGACGGAGGATCTCTTGCACCAGGTCTCCGCCCGGCTGGCCCCTGCGACGACGCGCTTCGGGGTTCTCGACGCTGAGCGCACTCTTCTCGCCACCGGCAAAGTAGTTCATCTCGTCGTCGTCGTCATCGCCCTCGCCCTCGCTGTCGTCGTCACCCCTTCGACTGGAAGGAGCATCGTTGGACGATTGAAGGTCACGCAAGGTGGAGATACCACCGCGACCACCGCCACGACTGCTGCTGCTGGCCGCAGGTTGCGACGGCTGGCTCGCTGCTGCACTCGATCCAAAGGCAGACGGAGCTGGCTGACCAGAAAGCGTACGTGGTCCTGTGTAGGTGTCCGCAGCCGAGGAAGGCGCCTGGCCCTCGTCGTCAGCGCCGCCTTGTTCGGATTCGTAGAAGCTGGACATGGCGGTCTGCAGATCACCTCCTGCCGCCTCGAGGAAGAAGCGAGCGCGGTCGGCCGATGCGCCTGTGATGGCGGCGAATTGCTGAATGCTCTCGTCCATGCTGTGATGCTTCGAAGCCTCGATTAGTAGATGGCGGAATGATTGTGGTGGATAGGAAGGTGAGAGAGGCGGCCTTGCCAACCAAGGCGTTGAGCTGCGCAGCCCACGTCACTTTCCGCTGCATCAAGTGGAGGGCGGCGGCCGCGTGTAAGGGGGAGAGCAGCGCATGGGCCCCCCGCCTCATCCTTCCTGCCCAGTAGACTGCTCCCGCTAACTGACGTGGAAAAGGCAGAGAGCCAGCTGCAACTGCAAAAAAAGGAGTCGATCACGACGCGTGCGCCGGGCCACCCTGATCTGGGGCCGGAGCGGATTTTTCGACTCGGACGAGAAGAGTTGAAATCGCAAACGGAAGATTGGATTTCGACTCGTGCCGGGAGCGACGGCGGATCGACTGCCAGAAACAGCGCTTTGGAGCGTGATGGTGCTCGCACGTCGTCGAATGTGACTTTGGTCAACCACCATCTCGAACCCTGCTCATCACCTTGCTTGCAACTGCGGATCGCATCTTCTACTTTCCGCACCGACGTCGGATAGCACATCAGCACGCGCCCCGACCTCTCGCATCGCTCTCGACACTTGCACACACACACAGCCCACGTCCGCATCGCGCTTCTGTGCCCGCCATGGCCGACAAGACCAACGAGCAGGTCGTCACCGAGACCTACTCGGAACGTTCCCCGATTGCTGATGGAATGACCGCCGGTGCTGCAAGCGCCGGTGCCGGTCTGCTGGTCAGTGCCATCCAGAACAGTGTGCAAACCCACAACAGGGGTGCGCTCGGTGTCTTCACCCGCACAGGAAGCACCATCGCCCTTTTCAGTAAGTTCACTCCCACATGAAGCCTACGAGCTGCAATGGCGGCTTCCAGCATTGGCGATGCTGACCAACTGTCTTGTCTGCGTCTTGCTTCGCATCGCGACTCTACTCCTGCGCGCAGCTGCGATGGGAGGCATCTTCTCGTACACCGATGCGACCGTCGCCAACTTCCGCCAGAAGGACGACGCGATCAACGGAGCCGTCGGTGGTTGCGCCGCCGGTCTGGTCCTCGGTGCTGCCGCTCGCTCGGTCCCCATGATGTTCGGAGGTTGCGCCAGTCTGGCCGCATTGATCGGCACCTTTGACGCGGCGGGCAAGTCGCTCTCCGGTGTCTACGCACGCCCCTCGCCAAATGACTTCACACACTCCGACCACGACGCATCGCATGGCACGCACGAGCTCAGCTGGAAGGAGGCGCGCGAGGCCCGCCGTCAAAGCTTCTTCAAGGTACGTGCTCTCAAGCTCTCCGATACTTTGATGCCTGACAGCAACAGTAGCTTTCATCAGTGCATATCTTCATTCGATTGGACGCTGACCTTTGCCCTTTGACCGCCTTTGCGCAATTGCACAAACCCGTATAGCAAAAGAAGGAAGACGTCGAGTCGGACGCGTAGATCCGGTCCTACCCTCCAGCCTGTACAGATTCTCTCTCGCCATGACATCCATCGAATGTCCATTGCTTCATACTTTCCCAAGGGAACCGGTCGGCTGATCGTACATGCTTGGCTCACTGATCCGTGCGAATTCGCGCACAGTCGAAGAACACACTGTCGGGGTCGTTTTGAGAGCAGGCCGGGCTGCAGTTTGGGAAGGTGTAGTCTACGTGGCAGCTGCTTAGGAGAGCGAGGCGCCAACAAAGTTCTCCGAGTAGAGAACGCCCTTTTCGGTTCGCAGCAGACGCGGCTTCTGATCGGCCTCGGGATCCGCAGCATCCGGGAGCGCACCCACCCAGGCGCACTCCTTGTTCTCAGTGGTCGTGTATCCGGGCTGGATCGTCTCAAAGATCTATACAAGCGTGCGAGCAGAAGCGATGCAGCGAGCGAGTCAGCATCGCGCAGAACGAACAAGACACCACCGGTAATCTTGGAAAGACGCACCTTCTTCTTGGGGTTGAGCACAGCCTCGGGCTCACGGCCCTCGAAGCCCTCGACCCAGACCTTGTCGCCTGGCTGGCTGCCAGCGGGCGGGTACACGGGCTCCACACCGCCGTCCTTGCCGTCCTTGTGAGTGGCACAGAGGAGCATGCCGTATGACTTGATGCCACGCATCGCAACAGGCTTGAGGTTGCACACGCCAATCACCATGCGGTTCTGCATCTTCTCGATGGGCACAAAGTGGACCAGTCCACTGAGGATCGTTCGCGGACCATCGGCCTCTCCAAAGTCGACCTTCTCCAGGTAGAGCGCATCGGCATCCGGGTGCTTCTCGATGGACACAATCTTGCCCACGCGCAGGTCGACCTGCGAAGGGATGGGACCCGTGGTGTCGGCAGCGGCCGCCGCAGCGCCGCCCTTCTTGCCTCCGCCACCGCCGGCCTTGGCCTCCTTGGGTGCCTTCTCCTTCTTTTCCTTCTTCTCCTTCTTGGGCTGCTGGTCCTGCTGCTGCGGCTTGGAAGGCTCCTTCTTCTCTCCGTCGGTCGCTGCCGCCGCCGAAGCCGCCGCCGCCTCCTTGCTGGCCTTCTTGGCCTTCTTCAGGTCCTCGGGCTTGGCACGCTCGATCTTGGGCATGCTCTCGTATGCAGGCTCGAAGGAGGAGAATCCAAGCTGGGCTGCGTTGGCCGCCTTGGCAACCTGGCTCAGGTTGGACAGGTGCGAGACGTAGCGTGCGACCGAAGGGGCGGCGTGCTGCTCGGTGGGCTGCAGCTTGGACACCGTGGGGTAGATGGAAGCAAAAAGGGCAAGATCCGCCACAGTAGGCTCGTTGGATGCGAGGAAGGTGACGTTGCTGAGCTGGGCATCGAGCGCCTTGAGGCCCTCGGCCGAGACAAACTGGTGCTCGTCCGCCTTGTCGAGCTTCTGAAGCCACTCGTTGGTGGCGGCCTTGGCCTTGTCGTCGGCACCGAAGATGTGTGTCGACTTGCCGGTCAGGCCGGCGAGCTTGTCGGCAAGGTCGGTGAGAGGCAGCGCGCTGTCGCCCTGGAGCTGCTGGATTGCGCTCTGCGATGTCGAAGGTGATGTCGAGAATGTTTCAGCACAGAAGGATTGGGCAGGCGTCGGTGCAAATTGTGCGAGGTGAGCAGCGCCGAGTCGGCATAGTGAGCGAGAGGCGAGAGCGAGGTGTTTCTGTGAGATCAGTCATTTGAGCAAGCTGGGCGCAAGAAGAGGTGCGAAGCTACAGGCTCGCGGGGAGCCGGCTGCTTGGGGCAAGCTACACTTACAGCATCGTTGGCGTACTGCGCATAGGCAGCCGTAATGAGCTGTCGTGCTCGCTGTCCGGACATGATGGCTTGGGGTACACTGTGCAAGAACAAGATCTTGTTGGAGGAAAGAAAGCCAAGTTGTGTGGAATGCGGCGCTTGCGCTCTCAGCGAAAAAGAAGAATCGCCTTCTCCACGAGGCCGTGAGTGTGCTCGAGCCTTTGACCCGATAGTTGGTCCCGATCTCACACCTTGGATCTCAACCGACTTTCAGCTCAGAAAGGGGTCAAAGTCAAGACCCTGGATTCACATTATTGGGTCTTGAGTGGAGAAGTGCGCGAATCAGGTCATGAGCTTGCACAAGAGCCTCGACTGAACAACACACGCTCGTCCTGCCGTTTCACACCCAGAGCGCGTGTGATCATGCGTGCGTGAGTGTCGAGTGCGAGAGACTTCTCCACATCAGTGGTGCCCAAGGGTCAATCCTCTCCGCCTTCATTTCACCACCTCCTCCCCGAACGCCTCCTCCGCTGTTGACAGCCAAGTCGAGCTCGTCGACTGCACACAAGACACCATGTCGGCAGCCGACTCTTCAACCTCTCGTCCAAAGGAGCTCCGCCCGGTCATTCTTGTCACTGGAGCGAATGCTGGTGTGGGTTTCGGTATTTGTCAGAGGCTCATCGTACAGCTCTCGTCGCCCAATCCAAGCGATACGCTGCCATCACATCCGCAGTGCCGCCCAGACCCGTCCGTGGAGCCGAGCCCCTCGCCCTTTGCAGCGCCAGACGGATGCACCATCGTCCTCGCCTGCCGCAATCCCATCAAGGCTCACAAGGCCCGTCAGCAGCTCAAACAGCTGCTCGACTGGATCGAGAATCTTCCCGAGCACGAGGATACGCCCACCGGCCCTCCAGAGAGCTGGGCCTTCGCCTTTGACACCACCACCAAGGACGACAAGCTCACGGATCCCGAGACCGAGGATGACATTCGTGACACGCCGCATGAGGACGCCGATCCCGCGCTCGTAGCACATGCCCAGGAGAACAACGTCAGACGCAGGAGAAAGTTGCGCAAGGCGCTCGCCAACGACGACGAAGCTGATCTCGACGATGACGAGGATTTGAACGGCGACCAGACTCGTACCGACGATGCGACATCGGCAGGCGCTGCAGCCAACGACGACTCGCCCAGCTCTCCGGACCTCAATGCGAGCCTCGAGCAGCGCAACAAGCGTGCCAACGCACGCTACCGCCGTCGCTTCTGCCAGGGCACCCGCATCGAGTTTGTCCCGCTCGACCTGGGTAGCATGGGCAGTGCGCTCGAGTGTGCCCGAATGGTGCGCGAGAGGTACACCCACGTCACCCACGTCGTCCTCAATGCCGGCTCGTCCGCATGGACCGGAATGAACTGGTTCTACGCCGTCTGGATGATCATGACGCAGTTCCGCTACGCCGTCACCTGGCCTGCCTACAAGATGCAGCGTGCGGGCGACAAGAGCGACGACGGCTTCGGTTGGGTATGGCAGTGCAACGTGGGCGCCCACTGGATCCTGGTGCGCGCCTTGCTACCCTCGCTGCGTGCCACTCCCTACTCGGTGCCTTCGCGCATCATCTGGACCAGCTCCGTCGAGGCCTTCTCCAAGTACTACGACGCCTCGGACTACCAGTGCATCGATGCAGCCAAGTCGCCTCTCCCCTACGAATCGACCAAGTACCAGTGCGAGCTCGCCGCGCTTGGGCTCGACGATGCGCTGGAGACGCGTCGCATGCGTACGCAGCCAGGCACTCCGATGGAAGAGCGAGCCTCGGCGCTCGGCATGTCACCCTTTGACAGCGCCGCCTCGCCGGCAGACTCGAGCATGCGACGAACTGCGTCGTCGGCGAGTGGCACCGCACCGCACGGCTTCCTCGGCCTGCCGCCACCTTCCCGGGCTCTCCCCGGCCAGCCCGAGCCACGCAGCTTCCTTGCTCATCCGGGCGTGGTCGCTTCGACGATGATGTCGCAGTTTGTGGCCTCCTGGGTGACGGTATTCGTCGTGGCGAGCTTCTACATTGCACGCTGGGTAGGCTCGCCGCATCACCCGATCGATCCGTTCAAAGGAGCCGTCTCGGTCAGCCACGCGTGTCTGGCACCGGACCTGGACCCGAAGAAGCGCTACGGAAGCCGCTCGGATTTCTGGGGCCGCGAGTACGTCGGCGTCGAGACCATCGAGTACTATCGCTCGCAGCTCGGCGGTGCCGGTCCCGGTGTGGGAGCGCGGCTGGCGCTGGCGGGCGTCGATCCGCGTACCATCCAGGGCGATCCGTCGGATTCGGGACGTGTGCTGCGCATGGCGCGCGAGTACGTCGGGCTCTGCGAGAAGACGGCGCGCCAGGTCTGGCGCAGCGCGCGCAAAGGAGACCTGCCTCCTTGGAGCTCGCTCGCCGGAGACGAATTTGTGGTTCGCGAACATGCAGCGCAGGCCTCCACCGATGACGACCAAGACTCACAGCCGATTCTCGACACGCAAGACGCACGACCTCCCGCGCCGTCCAAGGATGACGACCCTGTCATCACACTCAAAAAGACCACAGTGCCCAGCAGCGGCTCGTCGGGCGACGAGTGGGAGAAGGTGCAGTGAGCCAGGAAGCGGTGCTGTGCCCAATGCGCGTCTTTCTCGGCTTGCCAACAGCGCTTTGCTGGCGCTTCGCTATGGTGCCGTCGTCCTGCCGTGACTGGTCTAGAACGAGCCGGTATTGCCCTGACGTTCACGATGCTTTGCCGGGGAACGTCGTTCCGTAGACAGGCCCTTGGCCACTTGTCAGCCTTACTAAGCACCGCTGCCAATAGTCTTCCCTCCGCCTGCAACTTTGTCCGTCTTCCGACGTTTCGCCGCTAGCCAACCATATGAGTCTTGCTGACATTAACTTTGAGAATAAATTCAGCGAAATGGAAAATAAAGGACAAAGAATCTGAAGCCAGAAAACAATGCCAAAAATTATCAACACACACAAAGCCGAGTTGAAAAAGCCCGAGAGGTGATGGTCATTGGCACGCAGTAAAAGTCGATGAAGGAGGGAGCGCTCCCGGCATCTCGGTGTCTGATGTGCTCGCACGAACGAGAGGAAGAACTTTAACCGGGCATGGCGAATTGAGGCGAACTAATTCTACAGTAACGTAGCACCAAAGTGTCGGTGGAGCTTGGACCCTGGCGGGAAGATTCGCGTGCAGAGCCAAGATCACCCGGGATTCATTCATGCGGCCCTGCGCATGCGAATTCCGCATTTGAGTCCAAATCTCGGCTGCACTCCCGAGGGCCCCCAATACAACAACAAGCGGCTCATCCGTAGACATGCAAGGGCAGCGTCGAGTCACTTACGAGGCGAGAGAGATGAAAAGAACAGGCACATTGGGAATCTGCGCACAACGATGAAGGCGATCTGCCGGATCAACCCGATCTCCGCCGAAAAGATTGAACGTGGATGTCGTGACACGTCGGGAGCGTGTCCTCGCTGGGTCGGTCGCGTTTGAGGATGAACGGCCCAGTCGCCCGATCTGCGAAGGGAAAGAGGTACGTCGCCTTGAAGCTTCTGTGGAAGCTCGTTTGAGCCTCCGTGACCTTCTCCAAGTCCTTGCGCGACTGTCGAGCGAGACCGGCGATGTTGACGATGAACGTCGCCATAAGTGACTCGCGCATGGTTGGCGCAGGCGAGCATCCACTGCATCCGTTCGCCTCGGAAGAGCCTGGACTGCCAGCTTCGAGACCAGCTTCTCCAATTCTGCGCGACAATTGCGACTCTGCTCATGCACATCGTCTCGTGTCGTGGTGTGATTCGTCACCTCTCGCTGGTAAAGTTGACCAACTTCGGCACTGCCGTTTCCGACATTGATGCCGCTGTGAAGGTCCCTTGCGTGCCTTGCATCCGTACCTGAAATTGTCTTGACATCGGCAACCCATCCAGGACGGTGGAACTTGAAGTCCCTCGGAATGGTCTTGTGGCCAGTGAGACCGATTTGGCGTGCGAGCAGTGCATGGAAGGCGATGTTGAAGATCCTGTGCACTTGCTCCACGCCGTCCATCTCGAAGCCAAGACAAGCGATGGTGTCGGTGACAGTACATCTTCGATCGGCCTTGCCAGCCTTGAGCGCGAGTCCACGCTAGAGGTTATTGTCGACGGCCCGCTCGACATAGCCGTAAGGCCAATGCTTGCCCAGGAACGCCCAATTATGCTGGCCCGGCTCGGCAGTTTCTTTAAAGTCATCGATCTGCTGGAGACCACTGCAAAGAAGAGCCCAAAAGCAAGAGGGATGTCAGCGTCGCCTTGGAGCACATCACACATACAAACATGTCTTCGAGTCTCTTTGGATGCAGAGGCGCTCTGTCGTTGCCAGCTTACAAAGTCTCTCTGACAACCATTGCACTTACGCTGTGATGAGCTGCTTGGCTTTCTTGACGTCTCGTGCACTTCCGCTGGAAGCGCGCGCAGTCGGATCCACGTTGGCCTCGTGCATCAGCAATGTTGACACTGACCCCGGGACATGGGCCTGTGCTGGAAACCATCTTGTGGAAGGTACTTGCTGTGGTTGGCGTGGTGGCAGTCGGCCGACCGTGAGCCACCGATCGCGCGGGTGAGGCCAGCGTGGCAGGTCCCGCTTCGCCGTCACAAAGGAATGGGCGCGCACCGCTGGCCGTCAAAGCAGCAGCAGGCTGCTGGCCCGAGTTGGAAGAATGCGCCTTATGCTTGTCCTTGTTCTTGTTGCGCTTGTCTTTCTTCTCTGGGCTCTATTGGCTGCTCAAACCTGACTCTTGCGGGGGAGTGGCGTCTCACGCCTTTTCCTGACGAGTCACGGGCTGTGCCTCTGAGGCGTCACCTTCGGCGCCGCGCCGGACGGAAGAGACTGGATCATCGCTCGTTACAGCATCTGCTATAGCAACTTCGGAGATCGAGCCACGCTCAGGCACTCCGGCATCATTGGTGTCGGGCGGCTGCATCACAACATCGGCCAAGTCAGCAGCTGAAGTACCCAAAGGTCCTGCGAGGGACGCAGACTCTTGAGCCCTGCGAGACGATGCCCCACCGGACTTGTACTTGCACTTGTACTTTTACTTGTACTTGGACTTGCCCTTTGCCTTGCACTTGACCTCAGACTTGTCCGACGTCTTCGATTCGGGCTCGTCTGGCGGCTTGTCCTTGGAGTGCTCGCGCAGCCTTCGTTTTCCTCGCGTGCGAGGCAGATGCCAAGATACTGTATGCCCGCGAGTCGCAAGCTGCAATGGTGTTGACACGCGTCGCGCAACTCCACCAAATCGAAGAAGGGGACCCACCAGCAGATCAACCCGTGTGCTCACTCGCCCGCATTTTCCGGCCGCTTTGCATTGGAAGAGACAAGTTACCGTACCGACTCACATTCATTCGCGGCCTATCGCCAACGACCCGACTGAGCGTTCTGAGCCGAAGGCCGGTGGCAATCCCAACTTGGAATCCGTGCAATCTCGAAAGAGCTGGGAGCAAGGTTGAAGGCTTTGCCACGGATTTCGCTGGTTCTCGCAGGACGATTCGATTTTCACTAGCTCGGTGCGAAATCGACGCTAGTTCCAATTGTCAGAACTGTTCAGGCTTGACGGCCAATGAGCGCCAATGCCCGCCCAACGCAGCGGAAGCCAGCCGCCAAGCAAATCCTGTTTGCGTGTTCCTGTTCTGTAAGTTAGCCTGACTTGGAGCACACGCCCGGGCGCTTAGCGTGTCAGGATCAAGCGCAGCCACAAGGCCAAGTCGCCTACGCAAACCCAACTCGACATTTCCTTAGGAAATCAAGGCCGCCAGATGAAACCAGCAGAGCCACAGCGACGTGCAAACAAACCAGCAGACAAGAGAAGACATAAAAAAAGAAAAAAGAAAAAGGGGTTTACTTTACGCCCGAAATTACCGTTCGACGGTCGCTCGCTCGCTCGCTTGGCTGCTGCAGCGCCCACTTGCAGTGCAGCGTAACTGCGCACCTGGCATGGCGGCAGGGCGTGGCCAATGTCGCAGGAAGCAGCCGGTTCGATGTCCCTCTGCTTTCGTGCCGCGGCTTTCGTGCTGCGCGTTGGTCCGGCACCCGGCTCGAGCACATAGCCATATGGCACCGCAACTCATGCGGCCCCGACACTCCGCTCCAGTCTAGACCCGCCGCTCACGACCAAGCAGACGTGGAGCGTGCTGGACTCGCGGATCAGCGGGTCGAAGCCGAAACCCACCCATCCGCCCAGCGGCGAGCAGGGGAGCGGGAGAGCAGCAACGCATTCCGGGCTGTTGCCAGCCGCGCCTTGCTGCTGCGAGTCGCCTGGCCCACCAAAAAAAGCACGGCTGGTCGAGAACCGAATCCCAATCGCGTTTGGCGCTCTGGGATGATGAGCTTCGACGGCTCGGCTCGGCTCGGCTCTCGGCCCCTCCAGTGGCTCGGATGCTTTTTGGCCAGGTCTGGCTCGCGCTTCGCCTCTCCCGCGCGCTCCTGTTTGCCCGCCCAAGCTCAGTTTCGACGCTCACTCGCTCGCTAGCTTCGGCTCACGGCAGCTGCATCCTCAGTCTCTGCCTGGCTCGACTGCAGAATGCAAGCCGCTCCACGCCGCCTCACCTTGCATTGGGCTATCTGATCCCAAACCTCTTCGGACTCGAGTAGCAGCTACAGCCTGCGCCGCCGCCAGGACATCGCCAGGACATCGCCAGAACAACGCCAGAACAACGCCAATTACCAGAGACCGTGTGCAAACAGAGGAAAGCCCTTTTGCTTAGTGTGGCATCCGACTTTGGACAAGATCGCAGCAGCGCCACCACGCGCCGCCTTGACTTCTATGCACCAAACCTTTAGATGCACCCTAACCCCGGTTTCCTTGCTCACTGGCATCCCGCCTTGTCTCCGATATTCGACCCTGCTGGTCAGCTTTGACTGCAACAGCCTCCGTTCCGCTCGCTCCAAGCCCGCCCCACTTCCGCTCGACCGCCTGCCGCTGCCATTGTCCTTTTCCCTTCCACCCATACAGCCGCCCCTCAGCATCCTCACCTACCCAGCCTTTCCTGCCGCCTGGCCCCGAATCCCCAGTTCCTCGAGCCTTTACTGCTTCCATCTCCACCACTTGAGATCGTCGCTTCTCGTTCCATTCGCCTAGCTTGCCCGGATTCACTACGCCACCTGCACCCGCTTCTGGACACCGCTCCCGCTATCTGCACTGGCGTGTTCTTGGCCACATCTGCGCATCCTGAACGCCACCTCTCAGAACAGCGCATCCGCATCCTCACCTCAGTCCTTTCCGTCTCGACCCTGTCGTGGTTCATCTGCGATTCTCAACATCGAAACACATCGTGCACAGCGCGGCCCGGACCAGCTTGACTCCACTCATCCCGGCTTGCCAAATCAGCAGACTCGGAGCACACTTCGCCTCCACCATCTTTGAGAGCGCTGCTGGTGCCCCGTCGATTCTTTTCTGCAGTATGATGCACCAGCCTGCCACCAACATGGCGGCTCCACTCTCTTTGGATCGCCGGCCACCTTCGGCGTTCCCGCAAGACTTTGTCGCAGGCGCCGGCAGCGATCCTCGCTACCTGGCTGCTGGCCAACCTTTTGCCTCTGAATCTCACCCACACCATCCTCACCAGCAACAAATCTTTTCACATTCGGGCCCCGACTTTGCCGCCGGCTACAACTACACCTCGACCAGGGCGCCATACGAGCAGCAGCTTTCTTTCGATGCCACAGCCCCCTCGCATGTACCGGCATGGTTCTATCAGTCGGATCAGGATCGCCCATCGCAAAACGTTTCCGATGCGGCCCTCCCCTTCTCGCTCGACTCGTATCCGCCACAGACCAACGGTGCATCGGCAACCTCAAACAACCTCTCGGCACCTCCGGTCCCGTCCTTGTCTGCGAGTGCAGCAGAACGAGGTGCTCCTGCAGCCGCAGCAACCGCTCCAGCAACCGCTGGTCTTCACGCCGTTGATCCCTCCGAAGCCGCACCATTCGCCGTCAGCACTGCTGGCAATGTTTCGTCGGTCTCGCTCTCATCGGCTCTTCCGCCACCAGCCGCGAGCGAGAGGCGCTCTAGCGATGACTCAGTGCACAACATGGTCAACACTGGCTTGCCTATGATCGACGCACACCCTCCACCTCGTGCCGTGCCGATGTCTATCGCCGTCCGGGCGGGTTCCGAGGCTGCCGGCTTCAACGGGTCTCTCTCGCCCACTTCGTCCGCTCGCATGTCGGGCAGTCCTGAGG